CCAGGGCGGACTCCGACCGCGCCAACTAAATACCACAGGGGAGGGACCGGGTGGGCACTCCGCCTTGGCGGCGGATCCGGCTCCGGGCCTGATCCCCACTCCCTCTCCAACCCCCCAAAGTACCCCTGGTCCGGTCTGGCCCCGCTGGCCGGAGCTGGACTGCACACTGGTGGAGCGGATTGCTCTAGCTCCGGCGTGAAGCAGCTGACCGGTGCCGGACCAGGCACCGGTGGAACAGGCACGGGCCGTGCCGGACTGACAACGCACACCACTGGCTTGGTGTGGGGAACAGGCACGGGCCGTGCTGGACTGACGACGCACACCACTGGCTTGGTGTGGGGAGCGCAGGAGCGGGCCGGACCGGGCTGGCGACGCGCACCATTGGCTTGGTGCGGGGAGCAGGAGCGGGCCGGACCGGGCTGGCGACGCGCACCATTGGCTTGGTGCGGGGAGCAGGAACAGGCCGGACCGGGCTGGCGACGCGCACCATAGGCTTGGTGCGGGGAGCAGGAGCGGGCCGGACCGGGCTGGCGACGCGCACCATTGGCTTGGTGCGGGGAGCAGGAGCGGGCCGGACCGGGCTGACGACGCGCACCATTGGCCTGGTGCGGGGAGCAGGAACGGGCCGGGCCGGGCTGGCGACGCGCACCATAGGCTTGGTGCGGGGAGCAGGAACAGGACAGGCCGGGCTGGCGACGCGCACCATTGGCTTGGTGCGGGGAGCAGGAACAGGACGGGCCGGGCTGGCGACGCGCACCATTGGCTTGGTGCGGGGAGCAGGAACGGACCGAGCCGGGCTGGCGACGCGCACCATTGGCTTGGTGTGGGGAGCAGGGACGAGCCGGACCGGGCTGGCGACGCGCACCATTGGCTCGGTGCGGGGAGCAGGAACAGGCCGGGCCGGGCTGGCGACGCGCACCATTGGCTTGGTGCGGGGAGCAGGAATGAGCCGGACCGGGCTGGCGACGCGCACCATTGGCTTGGTGCGGGGAGCAGGAACGGACCGAGCCGGGCTGGCGATGCGCACCATAGGCTTGGTGCGGGGAGCAGGAACAGGACGGGCCGGGCTGGCGACGCGCACCATTGGCTTGGTGCGGGGAGCAGGAACAGGACGGGCCGGGCTGGCGACGCGCACCATTGGCTTGGTGCGGGGAGCAGGAACGAGCCGGACCGGGCTGGCGACGCGCACCATTGGCTTGGTGCAGGGAGCAGGAACGGACCGAGCCGGGCTGGCGACGCGCACCATTGGCTTGGTGTGGGGAGCAGGGACGAGCCGGACCGGGCTGGCGACGCGCACCATTGGCTCGGTGCGGGGAGCAGGAACAGGCCGGGCCGGGCTGGCGACGCGCACCATTGGCTTGGTGCGGGGAGCAGGAATGAGCCGGACCGGGCTGGCGACGCGCACCATTGGCTTGGTGCGGGGAGCAGGAACGGACCGAGCCGGGCTGGCGATGCGCACCATAGGCTTGGTGCGGGGAGCAGGAACAGGACGGGCCGGGCTGGCGACGCGCACCATTGGCTTGGTGCGGGGAGCAGGAACAGGACGGGCCGGGCTGGCGACGCGCACCATTGGCTTGGTGCGGGGAGCAGGAACGAGCCGGACCGGGCTGGCGACGCGCACCATTGGCTTGGTACGGGGAGCAGGAACGGACCGAGCCGGGCTGGCGACGCGCACCATTGGCTTGGTGTGGGGAGCAGGAACGAGCCGGACCGGGCTGGCGACGCGCACCATTGGCTTGGTGCGGGGAGCAGGAAAGGACCGAGCCGGGCTGGCGACGCGCACCATTGGCTTGGTGCAAGGGACAGGAACAGACCGGACCGTACTGGGGACACACACCACTGGCCCTACGCCGGGATCAGGAATGGGCCGGACCGGACTGGTAACACACCCCAGTACCTCTCGCCGTACCTCTACACCTTCCTTCCCCTCTTTGACCAGTGGCCCCCGTAACCTGGCGGCCTCCTCTGCCAACCCGCTGGGCCGCTCTATCGCGGTCTCCTGCTGCCCCGTCGTCCACGGCGTGAGCCCCCCCCTAAAAAAATTCTGGGCTTCTCTCCTACCCGTGGACCAGGTCTCCATACTTCTCACCAGCCTTTCGCTCTTCTGCTTCCACGTCAAGCCCCTCTCTTGCTCACCCGGCTTGACCCAGTCGAGGAGGCGCTGGATATCCGCCAGAGATTTCCCTGGCGATGGCTCCTGGACCCGCTGCTTGGTCCAGTTCTGGTGGGATCTTCTGTCACGATCGTCGGGAACAGAGGAGGACCAAGGCGCAGCGTTGAAGGCAAACATACTCTTTATTTAGTGATTACATGACAAAAATAACAAAACGATAACGTGACGTCCACGGTCTAAACACAAACCACACTGGAACAAGATCCCACAACCACTGTGGGAAAACAGCCTGTCTAAATATGGTTCCCCAATCAGAGACAACCAGCAACAGCTGACACTCGTTGCCTCTGATTGGGAACCACTCTGGCCAACCTAGAAATACAACTACTAGAAACAAATGAAACTCACACCCTGGCTCAACATACAAGTGTCCCCAGAGCCAGGGCGTGACAATATGGGACACAATGCACTACACAAACATTCACTGGTATGTCACCGCTGACTTGTATTGCTTTAAGCTCCTATTTTCTAAGTAGGAAATCAGTAAGTAATGATTGAAAGGATAAGCTGCACTCCAGATAGAATCCTTATTTATCAAACCAACACTCACACACCTCATTATTTATCCTTTGCTTTTGTTTCTGTTTGTGTGACAGAGGACTTCCTGTTTTTCCATTTCATTAGCCTCTGATTTGGATCATCTCCCTATAGCTGTGTGTGTGTTTGTGTGTGTGGGTGTGTATGTGTGTGGGTGTGTGTCTTAATTGAGTTATTGTTTCAGCGAGCGGTGGACATAATGCAGTATATTATTAATGTAATGTCTGGAGCAGGACTCCTGCTGAGGATGCTGGGAGAACACAACACACACACACACACATGCTCATGTTGATTCCTTAACCAGTCCACCAATTAAAGGGGCTCTTCAGGCAGATGTATGTTCTGGGTGTTTTTATACCAGATCACATGACTTCATAGTCTGCCTCTGTTCTCCAGGCTCACAGACGGAGGGGTGCGTGTGTGTCTGTGTGTGTTTGGGTATATATGCTTGAGTGAGTGTGTACATGCGCGTGTGTGTTTGCGTGCGTGCATACGGCGAGTGAGGGTTTGTGTGTGTGTGTGTGTGTGTGTGGGGGGGGGGGGGGGGGGGACATTTCGTTGTTCATCTATCCTCCCCCTGACCTCATGGAAACAGCCTTCAGGGGGGCATTCCATTTCGTTGTTCATCTATCCTCCCCCTGACCTAAAAAACATTATCTGACTGACTGTCTCACTAAACCGGTTCCAGTCGATACTATCCCAGTTAGCTGTCTGTTTTAGACCAGTACCAATCATTATCAGGCCAGTCCACTAGTTTAAATGATTTGAAATAGAACAGCCTCTCTCTACTGGTGTCCAGTGATGATCTCTTCTGTGACCTACTGACATCTGACCTTTTGAATGTCCTAGTAACCTATATTTTTTCCCCTAGTAACGCTCTGTCCTAGTTCCTCTCTCTATGTCCTCCTCTCTATGCCTATCTGTGAACCAAATACTTTATCAGAGCCAGCAGCATTGCATGGAATGTTGCAGGAATAAATCAGAGTAGACCATCTATTATCCGGGTGTAAACCAGACTACTAGCCAACATCTAGCTCAGTTTTTCCTAATGGAAAGAGAGTCATGTAATCATGGGGTGTATTCATGTGAAATATTAGGAACATAGAAATAGAATGAATAGAGCTGACACAATTCCCTATTTTATCTGACAGACCATCATATAAGTTCAACACCAAATCCTCCTGAAGAGTGTGACCATGGAGGAAAGATTCTACTTCCTGTCATGAAATGGTGCTGTTCCCACTCCGGCCACAGGAGGGGCCAGTGAGGCCGTCTCTCATCTGCTGTCTACACCTCGATCTAGAGAGGCAGGAACAGACAGAGGGCTGAACAGAAGGAAAGGACAGGCGAGGGAGAGAGGAGATAGACAGATGAAGAGAGAGAGCAAGGGAAAGAGTGATGAACAGAGCAAAGGAGCAGTGGAGAGGAATTAATTGGGAGGGAGATGGAGGAAGACTAACAGACAGGGAATGAAAGAGGAGAGAGCGAGGGATGGATGGATTGATAGTGGTGGGTAGTGTAATTCATTGGTTGTGTGTGTGTGGTGTGTGTGTGTGTGTGTATGCTCCCATCTCCCATCACCTGTGGTGATGCCAGCCTGTGCTAGCGGGCACTGGTGGTTGGCATAGCGTGTGTGAGGCGAGTAGCGTGTGCCAGCATCTCTGCAGGGTGGTAATAGAGACAGTTTGTCACTTGGTGGACTCTCACCACACACACACCCTGACCGTATGCCATAGCATGAGGCCCAGTGTTTGACTGGTATTAACCCCAGAGCAGAGCCTTTTCCAGGGGATTAATAGGACTGATTCTGCCCTAGAGCAAACTGTTCTCTTTTTCTCTCTCTCTCTCTCTCTCTCTCGCTCTCTCTCTCTCTCTCTCTCTCTCTCTCTCTCTCTCTCTCGCTCTCTCTCTCTCTTCTCTCTCTCTCTCGCTCTCTCTCTCTCTCTCTCTCTCTCCTCCTCCTTTTTCTCCCTGCCCACTCCTTTCATACTTATTCTTGGTCTCTCAATAATTAATTTAGATACATTTATGAAGGTCATACCAGTATGTGTCGCTTTAGCTACACCTCGAGAGCCGTAGAGTTGTGTTATGTTATCATGGAACTGCACATCCCCTTGTTGATTATCCCTTAAACACAGTATAATACAATACAACTTGTTTTGTTGGAATTATGTATGTATTTTCTTTTTTTCTAAATAGATGTGCATGTTGTGTGTTGTTTGTACGACTCACTTTAAAAAGAGACTTGGGTCTCAATGTTGACCCCTGTATAGATATAGGTTACATAAACATGCGTGTCTGTGTGTATTGAAATCCATGGGTTGCAGAAGCACATAGTAGTTGTGTCTTATCTAACAACCAGTTTGTGTGTGTGTGTGTGTGTGTGTGTGTGTGTGTGTGTGTGTGTGTGTGTGTGTGTGTGTGTGTGTGTTGTAATCCAGGGGTTGCAGAAGCCGTGTCTGGAGGAGATCAAACATGCCAGGAACGCCATCTTCAGCCCCTCCATGTTTGGCTCCTCCCTGGAGAATGTGATGTCACTGCAGAAGGAGCGTTACCCCGACAGCCAGCTGCCCTGGGTCCAAACACGCCTCTCAGAGGAGGTCCTGGGGCTCAACGGAGACCAGACAGAGGGCATCTTCAGGTCCGTACCTACACTACCAGTCAAGAGTTTGGACACACCTACTAATTCAAGGGTTTTTCTTTATTTTTACTATTTTCTACATTGTAGAATGATAGTGAAGATATCAAAACTATGAAATTACATTTACATTTTAGTCATTTAGCAGACGCTTTTATCCAAAGCGACTTACAGTTAGTGAGTGCATACATTTTTTTTTCATGTGTGAAATAACACATATGGAATCATGTAGTAACCAAAAAAGTGTTAAACAAATCAAAATATATTTTACATTTGAGATTCTTCAAATAGCCACCCTTTGCCTTGATGACAGCTTTGCACACGCTTGGCATATGAGCCAATCAGTTGTGTTGTGACAAGGTAGGGGGGGGGGGGGGGGGGTATACAGAAGATAGCCCTATTTGGTAAAAGACCAAGTCCATATTATGGCAAGAACAGCTCAAATAAGCAAAGAGAAACGACAGTCCATCATTACTTTAAGACATGAAGGTCAGTCAATCCTGAAAATGTCAAGAACTTTGAAAGTTTCTTCAAGTGCAGTCGCAAAAACCATCAAGCGTTATGATTAAACTGGCTCTCATGAGGACCGCTAAAGGAATGGAAGACCCAGAGTTACCTCTGCTGCAGAGGATAAGTTCATTAGAGTTACCAGCCTCAGAAATTGCAGCCCAAATAAATGCTTCACAGTCACATCTCAACATCAACTGTTCAGAGGGGACTGTGTGAATCAGGCCTTGATGGTTGAATTGCTGCAGAGAAACCACTACTAAAGGACACCAATAAGAAGAAGAGACCTGCTTGGGCCAAGACAAATGAGCAATGGACATTAGACCGGTGGAAATGTGTCCTTTGGTCTGGAGTCCAAATTGGAGATTGTTGGTTCCAACCGCCGTGTCTTTGTGAGACGCAGTGTGGGTGAACGGATGATCTCCGCATGTGTAGTTCCCACTGTAAAGCATGGAGGAGGAGGTGTTATGGTGTGGGGGTGCTTTGCTGGTGACACTGTCTGTGTTTATTTAGAATTCAAGTCACACTTAACCAGCATGGCTACCACAGCATTCTGCAGCGATATGCCATCCCATCTGGTTTGGGCTTAGTGGGACTAACATTTGATTTTCAACAGGACAATGACCCAACACACCTCCAGGCTGTGTAAGGGCTATTTGACCAAGAAGGAGGGTGATGGATTGCTGCATCAGATGACTTGGCCTCCACAATCCCCTGACCTCAACCCAATTGAGATGGTTTGGGATGAGTCGGACGGCAGAGTGAAGGAAAAGCAGCCAACAAGTGCTCAGCTTATGTAGGAACTCCTTCAAGACTGTTGGAAAAACATTCCAGGTGAAGCTGGTTGAGAGAATGCCAAGAGTGTGCAAAGCTGCCATCAAGGCAAAGGGTGCCTATTTGAAGAATCTCAAATCTCAAATATATTTTGATTTGTTTAACACTTTTTTGGTTACTACATGATTCCATATGTGTTATTTCATATTTTTGATGTCTTCACTATTATTCTACAATGTAGAAAATAGTAAAAAAATAAAGAAAAACCCTTGGAATGAGTAGGTTTGTCCAAACTTTTGACTGGTACTGTAACTCTCAGTCACTAACACTAGGGAGGGAAAGGGGGAGGGAGGAGTTAGTTGTAGTAGACACGCCTGTCAGTGAATGTCCTGGTACTCATCAGAGACCAGACAGAGGGAGAGCGATAAATGAAAGAGATAAGGGGATTGGTAAGGGATGGACATGCTGTGAGGAATGACTTTCATATGTCAGGAGGAGGAGGAGGAGTCTAATGTGTCTCTGACCCCTGACCTCACAGGGTTCCAGGTGACATAGATGAGGTCAACGCCCTCAAGCTGCAGGTGGACCAATGGAAGATCCCCACGGATCTGGAGGACCCACACATCCCAGGTAACACACACACCGCACACACACATCCTAGGTCCTGATCCATCCACCCACTGTATATGCTCCCTCTCCCCTCTCTCCCTCCCTCCTACCCTCCACTAGCCCCAGGCCCTCTGCAGAGCTCTAATTCTCTCTGAGTATTAATATCCCCAACACCAAAGCATGCTGGGAGCAATGTGCCTGCTGCAAAACTACAGTAATTTAAAAAATGATTCCTTTTAGAAGGAAGAGAGCAGTCCTGGCTGTAGGTTGGAGAGAGACAGTTAGTGCTTTACTAGGTCATCAGTCATAACTCTATTACCAGCACAGAGACACTTGGATGAACCACACACACACACTCTTTCTCTCTCTTTCTCACACAAGATGCACATACACAAACTCTCTCTCTCTCCCCAGCTAACAACAAACGTTTCCAGAACTTTAGAGAACGTTCCCGTAGCCCTTTACACTCATACCCGTAAACGGGTTGAAAAGGGCAGATTTGGGCACTAATAAGCACCTAAATTGGAACGTAGTGGCTGTACAGTAACATGCTATAAATGACTTCAGAGCTCTGGCTATGTGCTTCACTGCTCTGTATGGGTTTTGACTGATAGCCATTCTGAACTTGAGCACTGCACACAACAAGAAGTTGCCCCCATCCCTCCCTGTAATCGGGCAACTTTTGCAAATGTTTTGTTGTATGAGTGAGGGGAAATGCTGTAAATTAAGATGACATCGATGTATTTTGAAAGATGAGACATTGAGGATTATAATAAATATCTCTTTGATGTCATACAAGCAAGCCTAACACCCAAGTCCAAATGTGCACTTCACATTTCCATGTCATAAAAATAATGTCATATACAGTGTCAAGGTTTATGATCACTATGTTTGATGTACAGTTACAAGATGACATGGCGTCATACCCTGGGTTGTTCTGAACAGAATGAGCCTATGTTTGTTTATTGTGAAGAACATTTGTCGTGGCACACGCACCTGAAGGCACTCATGACTCCTTTCTATTCTCACCAACATTGCGATCTGTTTCTGTGAATTGCCTTGTGAAAGCCTAGCAATGTAAGATCGTATTTTATAACTTAGCGTGTTGGCAATAGAACAAGCTTTCAAATCGTGACCACCTGACCCAGATTGTGATTTATAATGGACCGTTTTTGGATTGTGTAAACAACAGTAATTGTGTGATGGCGGGGATAAAAATGTTCCTGTGATATGCAAGGAATGTTTCCAAGAGACATTCACTTAATGTCAAATAGAAGTTACCCATGTTCTTAGAACTTAAGATATTAATATTATAGACACGTTTCATGGGAACGTTGCAAAAACATTAATGTGTCCAGTTTTCTGTCGGTTAGGAGAGTATTCCATCAACGTCCCACCCCAAAAAATGTCTAGACACGTTTCAGAGGAACGTTGCAAGAACATTTATGTGTCCCAAAAAAAATGTATTACACATCACGTTGCCGAGCCAATTAAGACCCTGGTTGGTGAACCGCTGATCCATTCATAGCTCTTTGTCTGTTGACAAGGTTAGGAATACTCACACACAGTGCTTTAAGCATACAGTGTTTTCAGCTTACATATTTGACACACCTGATTACATTGTGCATGTTCATTTATACAGTAATTATTATTCAACATGTCTTCACTTGGGATTTGAACTCACAACCTCTTGGTTCACTGTACTCCGATCTTCCTCTCTTGTATCAATTAATCTGACTATTTGTTCATCATTGATTTTATTTATTTATTTCAGCAATTTGTATAGTTGTGGAATGTTGGTGGGGCATATTAACCTGTTTTAATGATACTCCTGGATCACTATGATCAATAAAATATTTTCTTGAGTGTAATTTTAACAGAGCTGAGATTTACTGCGAAGGACATTTACCTTATTGCTTACACCTATCAAGTTGTTTCAGATCTACACAAGTGCCTAGGGAGAAGGGGTTAGGGTTTCTTCTGGACAGGACCTAACTATACTGGCCCAATAAGCACATGCCCTAGATATCCCTTATTGGGACAGTGGTTAGGCTGTGGGTCACTGGTGGCTTGGGTTCAAGACCTGCTAGGGGAGTCATCCTACTTTCACATTTTTAGCAATATAGGTTAACATCATTACTTGGCAACAGTTACAACAGACCTAATTAAAATGAGTTTCTTATTGAAAGATGGGAATCGGTAGAATTCTAGATAGCTGAGCATCTCAAAGAGAACTCTATCGTCTTTTTGAAATCCACACCACATATACCATGTAGAAAAAACGTGTCTCTGATAAGGAATTACATCAGCTCTCGTCATTGCATTTCTATCTGTAACACTCCTAATTTGTTGCTGAAACATGGCCCAGGTGGTAGTGTTGCTTCTGACATACCCAGAACATGGTTGGCACATTCTCAGAATATCAGAAAAGTGTATATTTATAGTAGCATGTCTGTACTTTCTAACATTTTACATTTAAGCAATGATGATGCCAGTTATACCAAAACAATACACAACACAGAGATCCATCTCCAAGTTTTAATGTGGAAAAATAGACAAATTGCAACAGAATAACTTGGGACCAATGTTGGGGGTCATATATTACTTACAGTTGTATTACTTTTATGAGTAACAGAGTAATATAACGAGTTACTGTCTTCAAATATTGTAATAATTACAGTTACTTTTTCAAGTAACCCATATATTACATTCAGAAGCATATCTATACCGTCGTGTTGTATAGGCCTATATTTTTTAAAGCCTTGTCTCATGCTAATGGAATTCATGCTGTAGGCTAACTCGTTTCCAAAAAGGGGGTTCGTAAAGGTGAACATCAAAGAAAGATAGCAGCTGTGTTACCCCGCTTAACATTTTCCTTGTGGAAATGCTCACATTATTTTGAGTTAGTCGAGGAGAAAGAGAACAACATTTTAGTCAAATGCAAACTCTGCAAAGGCAGCATTGATCTCCTCGTCCAGAAACACCACATCAAACCTGAAAAAGCATGTGGAGGTCGTGCACAAAGGCACAAAGCTGGTAGCCAAAGTTCCAGAAATGTGTGAAAGAGGAGAAATCTATACATATTATGGTAATAAACAAAGCTGTATAAATAATGTGTTCTAACGAAATGTCCATATAAACAATGAAAATATCTGATGAATGCAATTCAAAACGGCAATAATGAGCATTAACATATATTGCTAAGAATGTGAGAGTAGGGTGAAATCCTTAGCGGGTCTCAAACCCAGGCCACCAGCACCAGTGACCCACACCCTAACCACTGTCCCAATAAGGGATATCTAGGGCATGTGCTTATTGGGCCAGTATAGTTAGGTCCTGTCCAGAAGAAACCCTAACCCCTTCTACTTGTGTAGATCTGAAACAACTTGATAGGTGTAAGCAATAAGGTAAACATCCTTCGCAGTTAATCTCAGCTCTGTTAAAAGTACACTCAAGAAAAAACTTTTATTGATCATAGTGATTCAGGAGTACCATTAAAACAGGTTAATATGCCCTAAACAAAATTAGACAACTATACAGAAAGCCCTTGAAATAAGGCAATCAAATCAATAATGAGAGAATAGTCAGATTACAGTTTTTTCTGATTGGTTAAGCACATTTTTTGTAACTATTGGCTATTTTTGCAAAACTCTACACACAAATAAGAAAACCTTTCACCCAATTATCAAAACATTGTAGTTCTCTTGCAAAAGCGAACACAGCTAGATTAACTCTTCACACCTTCTTAAAAATGGTGTTTTCGTATCAAACAGTAAACACAAGCCATCATCTACTAAGCACACAATGTGCCAACTACACACTGATGGTATGAATACAAAACACATCTGGCTTTTGCTTTCTCTGTGTACAGATGTCAATTTGAGGTCATACTTTTGTCATAGTGTCATGTAAACATACAAGGATCCAAACTTCAAGTATTGGTGTTTATTCACACTCATCAAAACCAAGACAAAGTCAGAACACAAAATAGTAATTTCACAAAAAAAAGAAAAACAATCAGCCTACATCATGTCGTCTTTCTGGGTCCGGCCACAAAATTTCGTCCACATCGCATGCGATATCCTCCAGTCCAAGGCACCGGGGAAAATATCTCCTTGAATGCCGTATCCAGGCCTGACATGATGCCTGGTCAATATCTCCACATGCCTCCTCCATTGCCTGTAAAAGGGCTACCTGTTGATGAGGATGACGGTCGTACACTTTCCAGCGCCAGGCAGAGAAGAACTCCTCGATGGGATTTAAGAATGGAGAGTATGGAGGGAGGTTGAGTGCCATGAAGAATGGGTGGTCTGTAAACCAGTTGCGGACCAAAGCAGCCCTATGGAAACTAACATTGTCCCATATGATGACATATCGGGTATGCTCTGGTCTCTGAACAGTGAGCATGTCATGTAAGGTGTCCAGGAATGCAATAATGTGTGCAGTGTTGTATGGGCCTAAGGTTGCATGATGGTGAACAACACCATTTTGGCTTATAGCTGCACACATGGTTATGTTACCACCACGTTGTCCTGGAACATTGATGATGGCACGGTGTCCAATAATGTTCCTGCCACGTCTCCTGGTTTTACTGAGGTTAAAACCGGCCTCATCTACAAAAAGTAGCTCATGTCCCATGGCATCTGCTTCTAGTTCCATCACTCTCTGGACAAAACAAAACAAATGCAACACATCAGGCCCATGCACAGCACTACAGTATGCACTTCCAAATTCAGAACCAATGACACTATAGCTTACCTGCACATAGTCATATCGCAGTTGCTTTACACGTTCTGTGTTTCTCTCGAAAGGAACTCTGTAAATTTGCTTCATTCTTATTCTGTGGCGCGCAAGTACACGACTTAGTGCAGAAATACTTACACTGTGTATATTTTGAAAGATGGTGTCATTATCAATTATGCGCTGCTGTATTTCGCGCAGTCTTATTGCATTATTGGCAATCACCATGTTCACTATATGGGTCTCTTGCTCTGGAGTGAACATTCTTCCTCTGCCCCCAACATCTGGACGTCTAGCAATTCTGTAAAGTAACAATTTCAGTATTTTTGCATGTATGGTACTGTTGTGTTTCTCATTAGAGTATGGCAGTGCTACAAAGTAGTTACCGATTCTCATTTCGAAATGTCCTAATGATGCTTGCCACAGTGTAGCGGCTCAAATTAGGCTGAACCCGTTGGCCAGCTTCCCTCAGGGTCATCCCATGGTTGATGACATGGTCCACTATTGTAGCTCTGATGTCATCAGTTATTCTATTTCTTACTCTTCTTACCCTTCCTCTTTCCCCTCCTCGTCCTCTTCTTGCTCCTCCTTGTCCTCTTCCTCTAACTTCCTCTAACCCTCTCGCTTCTTCAACTCCACGTCCTCTTCCTCCAACTTCTTCAACTACACGTCCTCTCCCTCGGCCTCCTCGGCCTCCTCTGATTCTCACTCTTCTCCCTCTTACTGCTCCTTCCATTGTACTCCACACAGACAGCTTACCTGTGGCTTATTTATAGTACTTAGGCTGATTGCAAAGTGAACTAATTATCTACAACAGTTTTCACATGTGCAAGTGTGCCAGACAGTTGGCAAAATAGTGTTAATGATAGCCATACATGTGTATAATTTTGCTAGGAGTGTGTTGGAAATTTGGTAATTGAGTGTAAGCAGTGGGTTGTGTTTAAAGTTCTGCAAAAAGAGTGTTGTGCAGTGAATTGTGCCTACAGTTTTGCAAAGTGTGTGTTACAAAATTGTAAACTGAGTGCAAAGCAGTGTTTGTGCTTTTAGTTTTGCAAACTCAGTGAGTGGTTTTGCTATACGTATTAATAGTTTTAGAAATTGTGCTACAAGAATCACGATTAGCGCTTAAGCATTCAGAAAAAACTGTAACTGATAACTGACGCAGACATGGTGGCATAGCAAGAAGATCTGAATGCTATAAACGAAGAGGTTGTGAGTTCAAATCCCACAGGACAACATTTTGAATAATATTTACTGTGTAAATGAACATGAACAATGTAATCATGTGTGTCAAATATGTAAGTTATAAGCACTGTGTGTGAGTAGCCCTACTCTTGCCAACAGACAAAAAGAGCTGTGAATGGATCAGTGGTTGACCAATCATGGGCTTGGCAACAGTAACATGGCGTGATATGTAATGAAACATATTTTTTTTGGAGAGTGTTTCTTTGGGACCATCAGGCGACGTCCTGACAACTGATACACAGAAATGTTATTGCAACTTTCCCATGAAACGTGTCTAGAACATTAATATTTTATATTCTGAGAACATGGCAACCATGTTCTGTGTATGTTTGGTGGGACCTTGATGTAATATTCTCCAAACCCTCAGAAAACTAAACACATTAATGTTCTTGCAACATCCCATAAAACACATCTAGAACATTAATGTTGAATATTCTGAGAACATTGTAACCATATTCTGGATAATTTCTATTTGAAATGTTCTCCTAACTTTAACAACCAACACATGCAAAAAAGATTCTCAGAAGGTTTTTTCTTACATAAATAGAATGTTCCCCTAACTAACAGAAAACTGGACACTCAAACATTAGGGGAACATTACAAAATGTTTCTCTCTCCCTAGAATTGTTAGCTGGGTCTCTCTTTCTCTCTCTCACACACACACACACACATAGATATTTTTTAGATATTTTGTTCTGGTCTTTACTCTGGGTGATTAAGGCATTAGTGTCAGTGTGTGCTGGCCAGGGAGGTAGAGTTTTTTTTGTGTCTGACCAGTCAACTGTTTCTGTCTCTTGATTGGACTGTCATTGAATAACATTTAAAAAAAGACTTACACTGTAGAGATAGCTAGAGCAAATAAATTACTCTTATTTCTCCCTGTCTCTCTCTTTCCAATTTCCCTGTCTCTCTCTTTCCAATTCTCCCCCTCTCTTCCTCTCTCTCTCCCCCCAGCCTCTCTGTTGAAGTTTTGGTACAGGGAGTTGGAGGAGCCGTTGATTCCGCATGAGTTCTATGAGGAGTGTATCACTCACTATGATGACCCTGAGGCTGCAGTCAACGTGGTCATGGGCCTGCCTCACATCAACAAACTGGTGCTCTGCTACCTCATACGCTTTCTACAGGTAACACACACACACATATACACTATACTGTACAGTGTAAAAAGAAGCGCTCATCAATCCACTCACTGAGCTTATTTATTTTAGGGAAAGTGATTTACAAAAGTAAACCTTCAATAGTGAACATAGTAGCAATAGGATGGATAGTGGCTACTGTTGATTATCTGCAAAAAGAAAGATACAAAAAGACACCTAGCATTCATCTAATATTTTATATTTTTACCAATGACCTGCCACTGGCATTAAACAAAGCATGTGTGTCCATGTATGCTGAGGATTCAATCCATATACGCATCAGCAACCACAGCTAATGAAGTCACTGAAACCCTTAACAATGAGTTGCAGTCTGTTTTGGAATGGGTGCCCATTTACATTTACATTTTAGTCATTTAGCAGACGCTCTTATCCAGAGCGACTTACAGTTTTAGTGAGTGCATACATTTTTCATACTGGCCACTAATAAACTGGTTCTGAACATCTCTAAACCTAAGAGCATTGTATTTAGAACAAATCATTCCCTAAGTTCTAGACCTCAGCTGAATCTGGTAATGAATGGTGTGGCTGTTGAACAAGTTGAGGAGACTAAATTACTTGGCGTTACCTTAGATTGTAAACTATCATGGTCAAAACATATAGATTCATTGGTTGTAAAGATGGGGAGAGGTCTGTCCGTAATAAAGAGATGCTCTGCTTTTTTGACACCACACTCCAAAAAGCAAGTTCTGCAGGCTCTAGTTTTGTCTAATCTTGATTATTGTCCAGTCGTGTGGTCCAGTGCTGCAAGGAAATACCTAGTTAAGCTGCAGCTGGCCCAAAACAGAGCGGCACATCTTCTCTTCATTGTAATCAGAGGGCTGATATAAATACTGTGCATGCCAGTCTCTCTTGGCTAAGAGTTGAGGAGAGACTGACTGCATCACTTCTTCTTTTTATAAGAAACATTAATGTGTTGAAAATCCCAAATTGTTTGCATAGTCAACTTACACACAGCTCTGACACACACACTTACCCCACCGGACATGCCACCAGGGGTCTTTTCACAGTCCCCAAATCCAGAACAAATTCAAGAAAGCGTACAGTATTATATAGAGCCATTATTGCATGGAACTCCGTTCCATCTCATATTGCTCAAATAAACAGCAAACCTGGTTTCAAAAAACAGATAAAGCAACACCTCACGGCACAACGCCTCTCCCCTATTTGACCTAGATAGTTTATTTGACCTAGATAGTTTGTGTGTATGTATTGATATGTAGGCTGCGTGTGCCTTTAAAAAAAATTTATGTCGTTCTGTCCTTGAGCTGTTCTTGTCTATTAATGTTCTGTATTATGTCATGTTTCATGTTTTGTGTGGACCCCAGGAAGAGTAGCTGCTGCTTCTGCAACAGCTAATGGGAATCCTAATAAAATACCAAATACCAAAAATCTTGGCCAGTCTACTGTAGCCATATACAGTGCCTTCGGAAAGTATTCAGACCCCTTGACTTTTTCCACATTTTGTTACGTTACAGCCTTATTCTAAAATGGATTAAATACAAAAACTTCCTCAGTAATCTACGCACAATACCCCATGATGACAAAGCGAAAACAGGTTTTTAGAAATTTTACAGAAATACCTTATTTACATAAGTATTCAGACCCTTTGCTATGAGACTCTAAATTGAACATCCTTGATATGTTTCTACAACTTGATTGGAGTCCACCTGTGGTAACTTCAATTGATTGGATATGATTTGGAAAGGCACACACCTGTCTATATAAGGTCCCACAGTTGACAGTACATGTCAGAGCAAAAACCAAGCCATGAGGTCGAAGTAATTGTCCATAGAGCTCCGAGACAGGATTGTGTCGAGGCACAGATCTGGGGAAGGGTATGCAGCATTGAAGCTCCCCAAGAACACAGTGGCCTCCATCATTCTTAAATGGAAGATGTTTGGAACCACCAAGACTCTTCCTAGAGCTGGCCACCCAGCCAAACTGAGCAATCGGAGGAGAAGGGCCTTGGTCAGGAAGGTGACCAAGAACCTGATGGTCACTCTGACAGAGCTCTAGAGTTCCTCTGTGGAGATGGAAGAAACTTCCAGAAGGACAACCATCTCTGCAGCACTCCACCAATTAGGCCTTTATGGTAGTGGCCAGACGGATGCCACTCCTCATTAAAAGGCACATGACAGCCCGCTTGGAGTTTGCCAAAAGGCACCTAAAGACTCTCAGACCATGAGAAACAAGATTATCTGGTCTGATGAAACCAAGATTGAACTCTTTGGCCTGAATGCCAATCGTCACGTCTGGAGGAAACCTGGCACCATCCCTACGGTGAAGCATGGTGGTGGCAGCATCATGCTGTGGAGATGTTTTTTCAGCTGTTTGGACTGGGAGACTAGAATAACATTTGTGAGAGTCAGGATCGAGGCAAAGATGAACAGAGCAACGTTTTTTTTGTTATTTTTTTCCCTTTATTTAACTAGGCAAGTCAGTTAAGAAAAAAGTATTATTTACAATGACAGCCTACACCGGCCAAACCCAGACGACGCTGGGCCAATTGTGCGCCGCCCTATGGGACTCCCAATCATGGCCGGTTGTGATACAGCCTGGAATCGAAACCAGGGGGTCTGTAGTGACGCCTCAAGTACTGAGATGCAGTGCCTTAGACCGCTGCGCCACTCGGGAGCCCAGTACAGAGAGATCCTTGATGAAAAACCTGCTCCAGAGCGCTCAGGACCTCAGAATGGAGCGAAGGTTCACCTTCCAACAGGACAACAACCCTAAGCACACAGCCAAGACTACGCAGGAGTGGCTTCGGGACAAGTATCTGAATGTCCTTGAGTGGTCCAGCCAGAGCCCGGACTTGAACCTGATCTAACATCTCTGGAGAGACCTGAAAATAGCTGTGCAGCAACGCTCCCCATCCAACCTGACAGAGCTTGAGAGGATCTGCAGAGAAGAATGGGAGAAACTCCCCAAATACAGGTGTGCCAAGCTTGTAGCGTCATACCCAAGAAGACTCGATGCTGTAATCGCTGCCAAAGGTGCTTCAACAAAGTACTGAGTAAAGTGTCTGAGTACTTATGTAAATGTGATATTTCAGGTTTTTATTTGTAATACATATGCAAAAAAAATCTAAAAACCTGTTTTTGCTTTGTCATTATGGGGTATTGTGTGTAGATTGATGAGGGAAAATGTTTGAATAAGGCTGTAACGTAACAAAATGTGGAAGAAGTCAAGGGGTCTGAATACTTTCCGAAGGCACTGTAGATATCTTTGGAAAATTAGTTATCTTAACGGGGTAATGTCCTATTTTGAGATGTAAAAAAAAAAAGCATCTTAAAATTACATATAGTACATCATCCTCTCTACACACACTCATGCTCACACACTCATCCACACTCATCCAAATACACACTTTTTAACTTCACACATCACCCTTCCTATAGGTAACGCACACACACACCTGCTCAAACACACCCATCATCTCTCTCCTCTCTCTCTCTCTCTCTCTCTCTCTCTCGTTTCTCTAACCCTCCAGGTGTTTGGCCAGCCTGCCAACGTGGTGATCACTAAGATGGATGTGAACAACCTGGCCATGGTGATGGCTCCCAACTGCCTGCGCTGCCAGTCAGACGACCCACGCATCATCTTTGAGAACACGCGTAAAGAGATGTCCTTCATCCGCGTGCTCATCCAGCGCCTCGACACCAGCTTCATAGATGGCCTGCTATAGCCCCCCACTTTTCAACTACTCTACCCTGAAAAAACCACACGGGTCGCCCCCCAATTTCAAATGTGCCCATAAATCCCCCAAGGCCCCACCTGCCCCACAGACCCTGCTCTAGCCCCCCAACATCAACTGGGATGACCAGTTGGGATGCCTCCCAACAACTGCCCCCGATATACCCTGCTATAGCTACAACTACTGAACCCCAAACCATCCATCCACACAGGACAGGATGACCCCCTACCTCCCCGACGGAGCCCCAACTCAGCCTGACCCGGACCCCTGACCTCTAACCTCTAACCCCACCCTACACACTGGGACTTTCGTCTCACACACACTGATGTACAGGGTTACACACACTCACATAGACATACTCTCACATGTACATTTACTGACGCGTGCACACACACACACTCACTTGTATAGTACACATCCATACACACAATTTTCAAAGCATACACACAATTTCTGAAATCAGGGCGTCGGACCACAAATCAGCTCAGAGCCCAGAGTTACAGTCAAACTGCCATCAAAGAAGGTGGATAAATTAAGATGTCCCACTCAGGCCGTTTACCATTGATAAGAATGGTCACAGTTCCGGTCTGCTTAAGGGATGACTCTCTCATAGGTACCAATGCATTTGCAGCTGAGTCTGGTCTGCTTAGTTCATTGACTGTATATGAACCAGAAAAAATGAGCGTGTGAGATGTCTCGCTCCCTCTTCTGTCTCTGCTGCCATGAAGCCCCGTCAGTCCGACTGCACTGTTGTCACCAACCAACTGATGTCAATAACGTTTTTAATTGGGGGGGGTTTTGGGACGGTGGGGGCGGTGGGGGCGGTGGGGGCGGATCCAGGTCAGGTGCTAGAGGGGATCATCGCAGCACTGCCAATCAACCGTGACTGTTGCAACCGGAAGTGATATCAGACACCCACACAGCCCTTACCACCCATCCGCCTGGTCCATAGGCCCTTCTGCCCCCCCAGACAACCACACAACCTCTACCCCTAGAGCCCCTCACCCCTCACTATCTACCCCCAACACATCCTCAAGACTGCATACACCTCTATACTCTCATACTGATATGATTTCTGAATGTCTGAATTGAGATCCATCCACCTCTGTCTGTCTGAGACTGTCTGTCTATTGTTTACAAATGAACCTGTCTGTCTCCATCTACAGGCAGTCAGAAAACTGTACCTGTCTTTTGGACCCATACACAAGTATTTTCTCTAATAGCTGATTTGACTTGTTATGGATAAAAATATATATATAATTGTTTTATTAATTGATTTGTTGTATTTAACAGAGTTATGTTTTCTGCCCACTATTTTATATAATTTAATGTATTTGTATTTATTTCAGCAATATTTCCTTAATGCCTTTTTAGACAATATACTTTAGGATTCAAGTTGTATGTGGGTGTCCCAAATGGCACCCTATCCCCTTTATAGTGCACTACTTTTGTCAAAAGGAGTGCACTATATAGGGAATAGGGTGCCCTTTGGGATGCACATTTTCTTTATGTTTGTGTGTGTACATGTAGGCATGTATGTGCTTGTGTGTGTGTTTTCAATACAATAGGGCATATACATCACATGTTCATATGCACATACATGTTGATATGTGCTCTCTGAAGGGTACAGTTAGTGTGTCTCTCTGTGTGTCTGAGAGTTAAGTCCTGCTGTTTTTTTTGTTCTGTTCAATTTGGGTTGAATGTTTTGGTGACACGTTTATACGAATTGATGCTTGTGAACCGCCCATCTCTTCAGACAAAAGCGTGCACACACACGCACACACACCATCCTTAACCTAAGTCCACATTCTCACAGGACACTCACACTCTTACATTCACGGAACCCCTCACATACTCAGATGTTGCGTATCTCTGGATTGATCTTTTCTGTGTTAAATAGCAGTCAGGCAACATGTTGAAGAGATACAGTGGAAGAGTGAGGAAGAGAGAGAGGGTAAAAAGGGGTGTTATGTCACTATGTATGTGTCCTCTGTGTCACCTCACCCCACTCCACCCTGACACACACTCACACACACATACACAGAACGTGACTGATGTGTACATTGAACCACTGTACAGCCCAACATGTAAAATACAACAAGATGACCATAACAACAAGTAAATAAAGCATCACACGTACAGTATGTAACTATGGAAACAGCTTTGAGAACAGGGTGTTGTTGTTTTTGATGTTTTCCCCTTTTGTTTTTATTATTATTTTCTATGCGTGTGTGTGAGCCAAACAATGATGGTAAAGTTTGTTGATAGAGGTCTCTTTCTCCACCTGTGAATCGGCCACAAGAGTGTTTTCACAGTGTTTCTCTTAAGAACATTTAAACAACAGAAATTTGTGCCATCATCAACTCTTCCTATGATCAAGTGTACATCCCAAATGGTACCCTGTTTCTTATATAGTGCACTACTTTTGACAGAGCCCTGGTGGGCCCTGCTCAAAAGTAGTGCATTATATAGGGAATAAGGTGCCATTTGGGATGTACACGAAGTGTGTGTGCAGTGGTGGAAAATGTACTCAAATCTCATACTTGAGTAAAAGTAAAGATACCTTAATAGAAAATGACTCAAGTAAAAGTGAAAGTCACCCAGTTAAATACTACTTGAGTAAAAGTCTAAAAGTATTTGGTTTTAAATATACTTATATATCAAAAGTAAATGTAGTTGCTAAAATATACTTAAGTATCAAAAGTAAAAGTAAAAGTGCAAATAATTTAAAATTCCTTATATTAAGCAAACCAGATGGCACAATTGTCTTTTTTATTAGTATTTACAGATAGCCAGGGTCACACTCTAACACTCAGACGTCATTTACAGATAGCCAGGGTCATACTCCAACACTCAGACGTCATTTACAGATAGCCAGGGTCATACTCCAACACTCAGACGTCATTTACAGATAGCCAGGGTCATACTCCAACACTCAGACGTCATTTACAGATAGCCAGGGTCATACTCCAACACTCAGACGTCATTTACAGATAGCCAGGGTCATACTCCAACACTCAGACGTCATTTACAGATAGCCAGGGTCATACTCCAACACTCAGACGTCATTTACAGATAGCCAGGGTCATACTCCAACACTCAGATGTAATTTACAGATAGCCAGGGTCATACTCCAACACTCAGACGTCATTTACAGATAGCCAGGGTCATACTCCAACACTCAGACGTCATTTACAGATAGCCAGGGTCACACTCCAATACTCAGACGTCATTTACAGATAGCCAGGGTCATACTCCAACACTCAGACGTCATTTATAGATAGCCAGGGTCACACTCCAACACTCAGACGTCATTTACAGATAGCCAGGGTCATACTCCAACACTCAGACGTCATTTACAGATAGCCAGGGTCATACTCCAACACTCAGACGTCATTTACAGATAGCCAGGGTCATACTCCAACACTCAGACGTCATTTACAGATAGCCAGGGTCACACTCCAACACTCAGACGTCATTTACAGATAGCCAGGGTTATACTCCAACACTCAGACGTCATTTACAGATAGCCAGGGTCATACTCCAACACTCAGACGTCATTTACAGATAGCCAGGGTCATACACCAACACTCAGACGTCATTTACAGATAGCCAGGGTCACACTCCAATACTCAGACGTCATTTACAGATAGCCAGGGTCATACTCCAACACTCAGACGTAATTTACAGATAGCCAGGGTCATACTCCAATACTCAGACGTAATTTACAGATAGCCAGGGTCATACTCCAACACTCAGACGTCATTTACAGATAGCCAGGGTCATACTCCAACACTCAGACGTAATTTACAGATAGCCAGGGTCATACTCCAACACTCAGACGTCATTTACAGATAGCCAGAGTCATACCCCAACACTCAGACGTCATTTACAGATAGCCAGGGTCACACTCCAATACTCAGACGTCATTTACAGATAGCCAGGGTCACACTCCAACACTCAGACGTAATTTACAGATAGCCAGGGTCACACTCCAACACTCAGACGTCATTTAAAAACAATGCATTTGTGTTTAGTGAGTCCGCCAGATCAGAGGCAGTAGGGATGACCAGAGATGTTCTATAGATAAGTGTGCGAATTGGAGAGAAAAAATTGTTCTGCTAAGCATTAAAAATGTAACTAATACTTTTGGGTGTCAGGGAAAAAGTATATAATTTTCTTTAGGAATGTAGTGAAGTAAAAGTAAAAGTTGTCAAAAATATAAATAGTAAAGTACAGATACCCCAAAAAAAACGACTTAAGTAGTACTTTAAAGTATTTTTACTTAAGTACTTTACACCACTGTGTGTGTCTTTGTCTGTGTGTGTGAGTGTGTCTTTCTCTGTGTGTGTGTGTGTGTGTGTGTGTGTGTGTGTGTGTGTGTGTGTGTGTGTCCTTTAATCAATGACATCTAGCATTACAACACCTAGTTACCAAGTAGGCCTACCGAGGTTGCACAAGGACTGGGTGCATTCTATCAGGGTGGAACTTTAGTAGGAACTGGAACATTTCTAATCAAACAAAACGTGGCATCAGGAACAGGATACATGTTCTTTGACGCAGAATACACACAGGATACATGTTGTTTGATCACATTTGAGAATGAGCAAATAGTTCAAAGCTGATGATGATGACAGTGAGACCAAGAACTGAGATCACATGGTCTAGACCTATAGGAAACGATAGCTCCTCGTTGTGCCTCGTCTTGCATCAGAGAGCTCATTGAACAAGCCAGACGGACATAGCAATAACCTACACCCTCTGTATCAGTAACCAGGTTTCCATCCAAGCTTTTTAAGCGAGTAAAGTATTTGATCAAATATTGATATAATAACCATCATATCGAAGTAAACTTGGAGTCACGCGATGATATGTTGTGTGGTCCTCCCGCTACGACTCGGGAAATAATGCAGTGATTGATGCTCCTTTCCAATAAGTAGTGAGGGTCTTATTCCGGAGACATGATGATCGATGCTTGGCTGCCTTTTGAC